GTGCCACGCTGAAGGAGGGAGGGCCCGGAGGAGGGGAGTTTGCTGGCACAAGTAGGTCACACACACCACACACACACACACACACACACACACACACACACACACACACACACACACACACACACACACGAGACTTCTTTTGTTTCTCTGTGTAGCCCTGGCTGTCCTGGAACTCGCTCTGTAGACCAGGCTGTCCTTGAACTGGGACATCCACCTGCCTCTGCCTCCCGAGTGCCGAGATTAAAGGTGTGTGCCACCGTGCCCGGGTTCATTCTTGACTCTGGTCCAGCGCTCGCTCGCTCTCTGTCTGCACCGTGTGACAGAGCCTCCACCACATCTGACTACTGCTGTCCCTTCCTCACTAGGAGACCTTCCGAACCCTTGGCCGAAACAAACCATTCATCCCATGAGGGTTCTGTCAGATACCTTGACAACCAAGAATAAAACAGGTAACTTCCATCCAACATGTTAAAGACGCAACCCAGAGGGCTGCAGAGAGCGCGCCACAGTTGAGAGCACTAACTGCTGTCGGAGCACAGGAGTTCGTGAGCAATACTCATGCCAGGGGGCTGTCAATGCCTGGAGCTCTACCTCCAAGGCAGGCAATGCTCCTTCCGGCAATGGAGGCCCCTGTGTGCACACACAGGACACGGACAGCGGCATGGGGGGGAGGGGGGGAGGGGGGATGACACGGACACAGAGAGAAATCAATCTTTAAAAAATGAATGCCCCAGCTCTGCAAGATGGCACACACCTTGAGGCACTAGAGGCAGAAGGGAGGTAGATCTCTTCCATGAGTTCCAGGCCAGCCTGATCGACATAGTGGATTCCAGGCTGGCCAAGGTTATAGTAAGACTCTACTAGCTGGGTCACCTTTATCCCAGCACTCTGGGAGGCAGAGGCAGATGGATCTCTGTGAGTTCGAGGCCAGCCTGGTCTACAGAGCTAGTTTCAGGACAGCCAGGGTTACACAGAGAAACCCTGTCTCGAAAAACTACCACCAACAAACCCACACAGGGGGCTGGAGAGATGGCTCAGCAGTTAAGAGCACTGGCACCAGGTGTGGGGGCACACACCTTTAACCCAGCACTTGGAAGGCAGAGGCAGATCTCTGTGAGTTCGAGGCCAGCCTGGTCTACAGAGTGAGTTCCAGGACAGCCAGGATTTCACAGAGAAACAGTCTCAAAGAACAAAACAAAACAAAGAAAGGGCACTGGCTGCTTTTCCACAGGACTTGGTTTCAGGTCCCAGCACCCACATGGTGGCTCACACCTGCCTATAACCCCAGTTCCAGGGATCCAGTACTGCCTTCTTGCCTCTGCATGCATGTACTGCACATAATAATAAATACATCTTTTTAAGACACCAAAATTCATCCATGTATCCCTCATATAGCCAGTCTTCTTTCTATGCATGTGACATATTCTTAGAGTTCCTCCTTCTCTGGAATCTCTCTCTCTCTCTCTCTCTCTCTCTCTCTCTCTCTCTCTCTCTCTCTCTCCCCTCCCTCCCTCCCTCCCTCTCTCCCCCCCATCTATCTCCCTCCCTCCCTCTGCCTTTCTGAGTCTTCCCCATCTGTCTCCCAAATGTTAGTGTTTTCCAAGTTCGTGACCTCAAGGCTCTTCTCACTGTTCTCTCGGGTAAGCTTGTGTGTTCCCAAGACATTAATTAGTATTCACCTGTTTACCTACGACTTCCAAATTTCTATTTCTGGCTTAAATGATTGGCTTCAGTTACAAGCCATGTCAGGCATATTCACTGCACACACTGGGATACCCTGGGGGCCTGGAGTATAGTCAGCAGACTTAGAGCCAAGCTCAGATTCCCGATGAGGTACTGAGCCGAACACGGTCCAACGTTAAACCCAGAAACCATTACCTGTTCTTCCACTAGCCCTCCTACCCCTACTTCTCCACCTCAATCCTAACCCTCCGCACATTCATCCAGATACTGTCTATCAGTAACGTCGACAGTTAGTACACTTATGGCACTTCTCTGTTATTATCTCCTTAACAACAGCCTTGCCCTTCTGTTACTGACAAACTGCATGAATGCTCATTATTCCTTCTTCAGTTCTGAATGTCTGTTTCTCTTCTTCTATTCTCTTAGGGTTTTCCCCCAAGATGAATCCTCCATGGGAATTGGCTTTGATGTTCTTGTTTTTGTAGACAGTGTATCAAGTACTAGAGGCTGACATCTAATTCACTGTGTAGCCATGGATGAGCTTGAACTTGTCCCCCACCATGGTGTTTGTTGTTGTTGTTTTTATTTTGTTTTGTTTTGTTGAGACAGGGTCTCTCAATTAATAGCACTGGCAAATATTGACTGTGTGTTTTTAGAAGTCATTCTTGTAGTTTGGGATTTAACCCTTAGAATACTCTGGAGCTGAAAACTGAGCCAACTCCCTGCTGCTGACTGGGACTGAATGCTGCTACTGTAACAACATGCAGGATTACCTGTGTTCTTACCCTCACCAGTCAGATGCTGACAAATGTTACTTAGCATCACATCTGGCTAGGACAGACAGCTAAGATCAAAGGCATAAACCTGAGGGCTCTTTCCTTTCCTTTAGCCCCAAAGCAATTTATAATAATAGGCAAAACTGTACTGCAAAAATCTCAGGGGGAAAGTGCATCTCAGAAAGGTCTCAGCCTTAAAGGTTTGGCAACTCATGATCACAAACAAAACAGGGCTATGGTATTTCACCATTCGGGGTACTGTGGTACACACCTTTAATCCCAGAGCTCCCTGCTAAGGCAAGTGGATCTCTTTGAGTTCCAAGCCAGTCTGATCTATGTAGTCAGTTCCAGGATAGCCAGGACTACATAGTAAGACTCTGTCTCAAAAAAACAAAACAAAACAAACAAACAGACAAAAACCCACAACAACAACATAATCCACCAAATGGAAGGCTGTCTGGACATCAAGCCTTTAAAAGCAATGCTCTGCTCTAAGTTAAAACTTTTGCTTAAGTGTCTAAAAATATCCATTTCTCTTTTTCTGCATGCTTCTGTGCACATGGAGGACAGGGGCTGATTTTTTATTTCCTGGATTTTCAAGATAGGGTTTCTCTGTCTAACAGTCCTGGCTGTCCTGGAACTCGCTTTGTAGACCAGGCTGGCCTCGAATTCACAGAGGTCCGCCTGCCTCTGCCTCCGGAGTGCTGGGATTAAAGACCTGTGCCACCATGCCCCGCCAGGGGCTGATTCTTGATTGCTTTTCAACATATGTATTTCGGCAGGGTCTCTCACCTGAAACCAAAGCTCACCGGGTCAGCTGGTCTAGCTTGCTCTGGGGATCGCCTGTCTCCCCTTTCCACCTGCTGGAATGACAGGGGAGCTGCCACACCCTCTCTGTACCTGTTGGGCATGTGCTTTACCCACTGAGCCATGCCCCAAGCTCCACAAAGGGGAACTCTACCTAAATATTTGAGAGACGATCTTTCAGATCCCAAGCATTGGTGTCACGGGGTTGTGTTCACTCTGGAGTCACAGTGACCCGAAACACCAAAGGATGCCTTTAGTCAGTTAAGTCAAGTGGAAATTTATCTTACTAGTTATTGATTTATGTGCACCTTACCTTGGTTTGGGTGAACGGCTTATTGCAGTAGCTTCCCTGCTTCAGTCCTTCCCCTCAGGCTTACTTTCTATACAACACTGAGATAAACCCTATGAGAAACTCATTCACTGCTTTGTTCGCAAACTGTCCAGTCCTATCTCAGAGTCAACACCGAAATCTTCCTTTTTTTCATTCTTCTTTTTCTTTTTTCTTTTTTTTTTTTTTTTTTTGGACTGGGTCTCACTATGTAGCCCTAACTGGCCTAGAACTCACTATGTAGACCAGGCTAGCCTCAAACTCACATGCCTCTCCCTCCAGAGTGTTGGAACTAACAGCCTCCCAACCACACCTGACAAAAGTCAAGGTCTTCATGACTCTCGAGACACACTCCCCTAACCTTAGCCCACCACACCTGGAAGTTCTGGCTGCCCTGGCTCACCCTGCCACAGTTACCACAGCTTCCTTGACCCTGCTTGGACACACAGGCTAGCCAGACCTCAGTCCGCTGCCCCTTTGGTTCCTTGTGCCTGGAGTGCCCTTCCCCCAGGAACGACAGGGCTTGTGCTATCTTCCTGTCAGCCCATCTTCCAGGCGAACCTTCGGTCACTTTCTCCATACTCCCTGCCTCCCCTCCCCAAGTGGTCTCTTCTACCCCCATTCTGGGGTTTCATATTTTGCACGGTACTTTATCATGTGTGTTGTTTGCCGAGTGTGTGCACTCCTGCGTGAAGAACATCTACATTCTTTACTCGCTGTTTTAACCTGTGCCAAGAACAGTACCTAGCACATAGTACATGGTCAACAAATAATTGCACAATGAACAAACTTTGCGACTCTCAGAAACCCATCCAGAGCTGGCAATAAGAGCTGGCGGATATCCACACATTCCCAGATGGCATTTGGTGGTGTGTATGGGCTTTAAACTTCCATGCAGTACCTTTTGTTCAGTACATCCTTCTCTCTGATTTTTCCGAGGCAGTAAGAGGCATTCGAATTCCTCACTAGTTCCCAAGGAAGAAAACCAATGATGCAGAAAGCTGATTTTTGGATGATTTGATTCTTAATCTTATTGGTTAATAAAGAAAACGCCTTCTGAATGTATCTAGTTTCTCTCCCTACACTAAAGGAAAATATAGTGAATATGTGCTGCCTTTTGGAGGGAGGTGCTTCCTCCAAGCGCCTCAACTCTCTAGCAGTGCAACTTAGTTTTCTGGGGGGGGTGGGTATTGTTTGCGGGTGTCTCTTTTTCACCCTGAGGTGTCTATTGTGCTGTGTGGTGGGAAGCAGGAGAGGAGCCGGGTAGGAAGGGATGCTGAACGCCGCACGTCTGCACACAAAGTGGGGACCCCGCGCGCCTGGGGCCGCGCACTTAGGCCCGGGCCGCCCCGGTGGCTTCCCGGTGGGCCCGCGCTCCCCTATTCCTCCCGACCCGGCTCGGTTACCTCGAACTCTCTTCAGCGCGATGGGCTCCTTGTCCTGTTCCGCTGACATTACCGACCGCCGCGCATGGCTCGCCCCCGGGCCGCGGGAAGCCGGCGTCTTTGATGCGGTGGCCCCTCCTCCTCCGGGTCCTCCTTCTGGTCCTCCGGGTCCTCCTCCTGGTCCCCGGGGTCCTCCCGGCCGAGCTCGGAGCCCAGGCCTGCCGGGCCGCGGGCCGACTTTGAAAAGTTTGGGAGGCGGCCGAGGCCTCGGGGCTCCGCACACTCGCGGGGCTCAGCCGGGCTCAGGGCCGCGGCCTGGGGGCGGCGCCCGCGCCCGGCCCGCAGAATACGCGCGCCCTGGGCCGCGCTGCGCGGCGTTCCGCCCGCGCGCGGGGGAGACGCGGCCTCCGCGGACACAAAAGCCCCCGGCCTGCCGCGGCCGCTCGGGGGACGTGGCGCGGCCCCGCGGCCTCCCCGCCCCGCCTGTGCTCCACAACCCAGCACGGGGCCGGGCTTCGGGGGCGGGGACCCAGGGCGCGCGGAGCCCCGCACCCGCACTCGCACCCGCACGGAGCTCCGGGGCCGCGGCCTCGCCGGCAGGCAGCGCTGCGCTCCGGGACCGTGCGCGCCAGGCCCTGCGCTCACCCCGAGCCCCTATGCGCCGGGGTCCCCGCGCCCTCCAAGGCCCATTACCCCCGGCTCTACGTCTCCCGTCCGCGCCCCGCAGCTCGGGCTCCACGTTCTCCGCTGCCCTCCAAGGCCCAAGACTCCCTGGCTCCGCGCACCCTATGAAGGGCGCAAGGGCGCAGCGTCCTGCTCTGCGCTCCCCGGCGCCCTCCAAGGCCCCAAACCCTCCAATTCTGCGTCCAGGTCCTCTGCGCCCCGGGCCGCTCTCTGCCCTTCAGGCCCAGAGACCCCCAGCTCCACGCCTCTCTGCACACCCAGCCCGGCCCCAGACTCCCCGAGGAAACAGCAGCTCGCAACTTCATCCCAGCCCCAGCAGGCATCTTAGCCTCGCAGTCAGATGTCAGGAAAACTTTGTCTGAGAAAGCGGCATAGTTCTGGGTGGGTGTATGGACGCCCCACATTCTCCGTGCCCGTGGTTCGAACTCGTGTTTCTGCAACGCCCCCTGCCTTGGAGATGTAATAACTGGGCTCTTCAACACAAAGCGTATGGAATTAACACCAGAAGAGCATCGGGAAAGGGGAACTCACATAGACTAGTTGTAGGGAGATTCCCCCACGCCAACCCAAGGAGACTGCCAATCAGATTCGACTAGTAGTCCACATTCTACAACTGAGGCACACGCTTTTGAGGTTCGGTTTCTGATTTACCAAGTGAGCGGGACTTCTTCTCTAAGGTGTCTTCTAGCTCTGGCATTCTTTGATGAGCTTTTATGAGTTTTCCCGGTTTGTTGTTAGGTTTTCTAGTTACTGTACTAAGAGAAACTAGCTGCAGACTACACTTCCATCAGGTAAAACACGGTTTGTTTCTACATCTAATCTTAGACAAGTACTCCTTAAGCACAGGAGGACCTATAGCTAACCAAACGGGAGTCTCATCTTTCTATACACAAGACTTACAGAACTCTTTCAAGTGTGCAGGCAATGACCAAGGTAAAACCCTACATTAGTGGGATCAGCTTTAGAAACAGAATAGCCTGGCCCTAGCCTGTGGTGGCACATGGCGATAATCCTAGCACTCTGAAGGCAGAGGCAGTTGGATGTCTGTGCTAGAAGCCAGCCAAAGCTACATTTTGAGAACTCATTTCAAAAAAAAAAAAAATACTGAAGATTGCCTGTCAGACAAGGTTGAAAACCTTGCATGAGTTCCTTTATATGAGTTCCCCAGCACTCATATAAAAACTGGCCATTGATACGTATTCATAATCGGGACTGGGAAGTTGGAGGATAGATCCCTGGAGGTTATTGGCTGGCCAGTCTACCCAAAGCAATAACAAGGCTCACTGAGAAACCTTGTCAAAAACAAAAACAAGGCAGAGGGGCTGGAGAAGTGGATCATCAGTTAAGAGCTTGCTAGCTGAGCGGTGGTGCACACCTCAGGAGGCAGAGGCAGGTGGTTCTCTGTGAGTTCAAGGCCAACCTGGTCGACAGAGCTAATTTCAGGACAGCCAGGGATACCCAGAGAACCCCTGTCTTGAAAAACAACGAGAGCTTGTTCCCAGTACCCACATATTGGCTCACAATCATCTATTACTCCAGGACCACAGATTCAATGTTCTCTTCTGGCCTCCTCAGGTACCAGGCACCTGGTAACCTCACACCAGAGATGGTTCACATACATACATACATACATACAGGCAAACACTCATACATATAAAAATAAATAAATCTTTTTTTAAAAAAATGGCATGGTAACCCACCATTCAGTAGCCAGAGGTAGGCAGATCTCTGTGAATTCAAGGCTAGCCTGATCTACATAGTTAGTTCCAGGCCAGCCTGGATAATACAACAAGACCCTGTCTCAAATTCTAAACTAAAATAAAACGGAGAAAGAGCTAAGCTCTAGGAGGCATCCACGACTCTGTTTCCTGTTTGTGGATATGATGTAACCTGCTGCTTCAAGCTCCTGATGCTTTGAACTCCTCACCATGGTGGGCTGTACCTTGACCTATGAGCCAGAATTAACCTCTTCCTTCCTTCCTCCTTCCTTCCTTCCTTCCTTCCTTCCTTCCTTCCTTCCTTCCTTCCTTCCTTCCTTCCTTTGTTTCTTTCTTTTGTTTTGTTTTGTTTTGTTTTGTTTTTTGAGACAAAAACCTTCTCTGTGTAGTTTTGGTGCCTGTCCTGGATCTCGCTCTGTAGACCAGGCTGGCCTCGAACTCACAGAGATCCGCCTGCCTCTGCCTCTCGAGTGCTGAGATTAAAGGCGTGCGCCACCACCGCCCGGCCCCTTCCTTTCTTAAATTGCTTCTATTGGGGCATTTTACCCCAGCCATGGCACTAGGACAGCACCTAATTCAAGTTGTGCAGGAGGCATCTTTATGGTCTGATGAGCTCTTCAAGGCCTCCGATTGCTGCCACAAGGGCACCTGAATTATGAAGGAGACGGCTTCTAAACAATACCAGTTACGAAATGTTATCCAAGAAGTGAGTGAGGGCCTTGTACATGGAGATGGGGTAAAGGAGTTCAGGGGATTGTGCCAATCGACAACGACATTGCATGAGGCTCCAGTAGTGAGTTGGCTTCCAGCCTTGTCCTTGTGAGACTGGACGTGGGGAGAGAAGCCTGTGGTGGTGACGTGGGGTGAAGGTGAGCCCAGTTTTGGATGGCCAGGGTCTGAGGTTGGGTGACAGGGAGATACACTTATTGAATTCATAATACCTCAGGTCATATGCGTATCAGTGCTTGGGGGTCACATCCGCATTGATGGCATGTATAAGTAAGTGTGTACCAGTGCAGTATAATGACCCCAAACCCAGTGGTTTAAATTACCACTTGGTTGTTTATAATTCTGTGGACAGGCCATCTGTGATGGACTCTGATAGAACGGCTCTTTGTAGTACCACAGAGTGAACCAGGAATTTGTGGTCAGTTGGTGGCCAAAGCCTCTTGCTTGCTGGTAAGCAGATGGCTTTGAGCAGGAGTAATGAGCAAGCATCGTAACTGGGCTGTGGGATAGCATCCAGCCGGCTCATCCACACTCTTTCAGATGATAATGCTTACAAGATTTGCAAGAGTACCAAGGGAGGGCAAACCATACTACGTGAGCATTTTCCAAGTCTGGGCTTGTGTCTCATTGGTTAAAGAAATTTATTTGGTCACTCCTAGAATCCCGGTAGGAGTGGGTTACTATATGGACACACAAAAGGCAGAGCAGATTGGGACTGTCACTCAAAGCATACATGTGTCCTCATCCTTGAGGCTCGTGGGGATAGGAAGGAAGACAGGAAAGAATGGTGCTTTTACACAAATATACACATACTCTTCACACTTGCATGTCTGGCATATCCTTCCACTTTCGTTCACCTGGGAAATGCCAGACCCCATGAAATGTTGTCACTATGCCTCAGCACGCCGATCCAACATCATGGATACAAACCTTTAAATGTCAAAGGAAGGCCGAAATAGCATCATATTGACACAGCCATGCAGACATGGAGAAAACTGTCAGTTTGTCAGGATCTAGGATCAGCTAGGAGACACGCGTCAGGGCACATCTGTGAGGAATTAGATTACATTAACTAAGGCGGAAGACCCGCCTTAACCAAGGGCAGCAGCATCCTATTTCCCGGGGTCTGGGCCTGAATAAAGAGAAAGGGAGCTGAGCACTAGCTTGTCTTTCTGCTTCCTGACTGAGGATGTGATGTGACTGGGTGCCTCATGCTCCAGCTTCGTGACAGGTGCACCATGATGGACTGTACTCTCAGCCAAACAAACCCTGCTTTCCTTACACTGCTTTGGTTAGGCATTTTGTTACAGCATAGACAAGTCCCTAATACAGGCTTTTCCCACCCAACCCTATTACTCTCATGTTCCCGGTATGATAGACTTCCTCCCAAAAATGTCCCTCCACCTCGCTGTGGTCAAATCCGTGAGACTTGGCTCTGAGTTCCAGAGCTGATCTTCATCGCACCTCTCACTCAGAGAGGTGCCAAAAGGAAGCAGATTCCACCGTGCAGAGCCACGATATCAGTGCTTTGGACAGACCCAGGCCACAGATCCAAATGAAGAGTCACCCAGAACCCAGGAGGACAGCCAGGAATAGAATTCAGGCCAACATAGCCGGGCGGTGGTGGCGCACGCCTTTAATCCCAGCACTCGGGAGGCAAAGCCAGGCGGATCTCTGTGAGTTCAAGGCCAGCCTGGGACTACCAAGTGAGTTCCAGGAAAGGTGCAAAGCTACACAGAGAAACCTGTCTCGAAAAACCAAAAAAAAAAAAAAAAAAAAGAATTCAGGCCAACACACATTTTCAAGGTTAGACAGAGAAAGAAACCTATGGAAATGAAGAGGAAATGGAAAATTGCGAAGCAGACTGTTAAGGGCACCAAGAGAAGGAGATGTCAGCCCCTGTACAACCACGCCCCAGGGCAGGCTCGTGCTCAGAGGAGCTGACGACTCGGCCTCCAAGGGTTTTGTGTGCTTTTTGTTAGCTGTTGTTATAGTTTGATGTTTTGTCTTCCTTCCTTCCTTCTTTCCTTCCTTCCTTCCTTCCTTTCTTTCTTTCTTTCTTTCTTTCTTTCTTTCTTTCTTTCTTTTTCTTTCTTTCTTTCTTTCTTTCATTCTTTTAGAGAGAGAGAAAAAAAACCCTGAAGTTGGGTGGCTGGGGAGATTGAGAAGTCCTGGGAGGACTTGGGGAGAGGGGAAAGAATATAATCAAGATATATTACATGATATGTCATATAAATGGCCGGGCGGTGGTGGTGCACGCCTTTAATCTTAGCACTCAGGAGGCGGAGGCAGGTGGATCTCTGTGAGTTCGAAGCCAGTGAGTTCCCGGACAGGCACCAAAACTACACAGAGAAACCTTGTCTCGAAAAACCAAAACAAACAAACAAACAAACAAACAAAAAAGAAATATAACATAAATGCAAAAAAAAAAAAACAAAAACAAAAAAAAAAAGAAAAGATGCCCTATAAGTGACCGCTGACGACATCAATATGGCAGTCAAGCAGGGTTCTTGCCTTGCTTTGCTCTGGGTTTTACAGCAATAGGAAAAGGCAGAATTTTTTTTTTCAGGGCATAAATACTGCCAGCATAGTCGGATTGCAGCTTGAGAAAATGTTTTAAGAATGAGTAAGCAAGATGTATGAATATTTGTGAATGAAGCACGGCAAGGCAGAACTAGGTAAGAAACAGGATAAGTCTTGATGTAAAAACAACACTCTAAATATGGAATGACTGGCATTTTATGAAATCTTTGTTTGTTTGAGAAAGTGTTTCTCTCTGTATCCCGGACTGTCCTGTAACTAGCTCCGTAGACCAGCCTGGCCTCGCACTCACAGAGATCCACCTGCCTCTACCTCCCAAGTGCTGGGATTAAAGGTGTGTGTCACCACTGCCCAGTTTATGAAATCTCTTTTAAAAGACAGGAAATGTGCCTATTTTAAGCCTTTAAAAGCCTGTTTTCATGACTTATCCATGTCGTGTTGTTAAGGGGTCTTCTTGGGGCCAACACAATTGACACCACAGTCAATGCAGACAAGGAAAATCTACTGTAATCAAGCCGCCACAGGGCCTGAGTAGGGCCACAGAACAGACTTGGGAGCTGAACTGTGACCCGGAGCCAGAATGTGAGAGGGCTTTGAAGCCTGAAAATCACAAACATCTGTGTCAAGTTCAGTTACATTTTCCACCAATCGGGATTCGAAGATTAGAACTTTCCTAGAAACATCCACTAAGCCATCTCTCCAGACCCTGTATTTCTTGCTAAATATTTGAGTTATATGCCTAGGTACTAGTTTACTGTACCCATGAGTTCTTGTTCTTTCTGTTCATTTTTCCACATGCCCAGTCACTGCTCTGCTGATATATCCCCTGGTGTTTTAGTTTCATTGAGTTCTATTTTAT